TTACGAAGCCACTCCTTCGTTGCCCGGGCGGTGTGTTTGGGATCATTGTCATGCTGAAAGACCCAGCCACGTTTCATCTTCAATGCCCTTGCTGATGTCAAAAGCACAAGACTGTTGCATAATAATAATAGTAATAATAATAGTAATAGTAATTATAATAATAATACTAGTAAGAGTAGTAGTAATAATAATAATAATAATAATAATAATAATAGTAATAATAATAATATATAAATATTCCAGATATTTATGTTTCTGTCATATAGAAATATCCCAACAGTCAACATGAAAGATGGATAGTTATTAAATCCTGCATATTCACACAATGAAAAAACCCTCCTTGATCTTTCCACAGTGGTAAACAGGAGAGGGTGTGGTCGCCATGTCTGTCCATGAAGAGTGATTGGTCCATGGACAGGCACATTATGTTTGGAAAAGATGCCAGGTAAGTGAAGAACCTAGCATTGAGATAACAATCACCTGATAGAAGATGAGTCTGTTCTACAAACAATGATGAACAAGTAATTGGGGTTCAAAATGAAAGAAAGAAAGAACAACATTTATAATTCATAAACAAAACCCTCCTTGATCTTTCCACAGTGGTAAACAGGAGAGGGTGTGGTCACCGTGTCTGTCCATGAAGAGTGATTGGTCCATGGACAGGCACATTATGTTTGGAAGAGATGCCAGGTAAGTGAAGAACTGTTTCTACATTCCTGTAAATCTGGTAGGTTAGCTCCTGTATTAATAGTCAATCCTTAAAACAACCACATTTCTCTACCATATTGTGTACAGTGAGCTGACAGCCAGTCTGCTGACAGAGGACCACTTCAGATGCTCAATGTGTACAGAGTTTCTCAAAAAGCCAGTCTCCATCCCCTGTGGACACAGTTACTGCAGACAGTGCATTGAGACCTACTGGAACCAGCCTGACCAGACAGGAGAGTACGACTGCCCCCAGTGCGGAAAGAGATTCAGAACACGTCCTGACCTCCTCACTAACTCAGCCTTGGAGAAGGTGATTGGGAAACTCCACCAGGCAGGGTTCAAGGTCCCTGCTCTTCCCAGTCACTGCTACGCTGGACCTGGAGATGTGGCCTGTGATCTCTGCACTGAGAAACAGCTCAAAGCTGTGAAGTCCTGTCTGACCTGCACTGCCTCCTACTGCGAGAGTCACGTCAGGCATCACTACACCGTAGCAGCTCTGCAGAGACACACCCTGGTGGAGGTGACTGGACACCTGGACCAGAAACTGTGCCAGCTGCACCACAGAGCTCTGGAGGTCTTCTGTAAGACAGACCAGGTCTCTGTTTGTCTTCTGTGTGCCTTGCAAGACCACAGAAGCCATGATGTCATAAAGAATGAGAGAGATACTGATGAGGTGGGTGTGTCTATAGTCTGGACTAGTGTGTGGTTGATACTGATGAGGTGGGTGTGTCTATAGTCTGGACTAGTGTGTGGTTGATACTAGGGGTGTAACGATTCGTTTTAACAACGATTCGATTTGTATCACGATTCGTGGTTGTCGATACGATTCAAGGACGATATTGGTTCATTTAGAACGATACGATCCGAAACGATTCAGTGACTTGAAATCGATTCAGTAACCTTTTAGCCAAAAATTCAACCAGTGTGACTGAAATAAATACCTGGTAACCAGTTGCATTTTAATGGCTGGCAATAGTCTTGATATTTTTAACAGTGTTTCATGCCTCCATGCAGACCATCTGGTATTATGAAACTTACCCATACCTACGTTGACCGCAGCCCCGTAAAGTCTCACAAGTCCGTCTGTTATGGCCTGTGCGGTTCGGTCAGCACCCAATTCAATCAGTCCAATAAAGTCCGAAGTAAACTCTCCGTTGCTGGACACAGACACAATGTAAACTATTTCCTGCTCAGTTTTTGTGATGTCCTCAGATCCATCAAAAAGCATTCAGTAAAGGAACATCCTCAGAATAGGAAGACATGGGACGTGCGTGTTTAGCTTTATGCATTTATTCTCGGCTAGCTTTTAGCAATGGCTTGCGCCACATTCGTGTGCTCCTTGCTCTTTTCATGTTGGTCAAATAAAGGATGGTTGAAATTCTTTGAGCCTTTATAAAATGCACCTGTTTTGTCTGCTAGATGTGGATTTGAGCGGCAAATCTTGCACCACATTTCAGTGCGCTCATCGTTAGCTTCAAGCCACTGCACATCTTGGAGCCACTTTTCCGAAAAAAGTATTTTCTTCGGCTCTGGCTCCAGTTGGCGTTTCTTTGTAGGTGGCGAAACGCCAAAAAGGCTGCTTAATGTCTGTTGCTTTTTGGACATCCCTGACAGTAGTTGACAAGCAACATGTCATGTGTAAGGTTAGATGAGAAGATCGGTCAAGTACGCAAAGGCGCGTAGTAATTTGTCGCGCTTGCGTATCTGCGTACCAGTTATGTGCACCCCTGCATATAAAGTCTGACGTGCTTAAATCCAATGGGTTATTTCCTAGTATCGATACAATCGATTTATTACATTTTAAAACGATGTTAGATCGATATATGTTGTCCAAAAGGCCAACTCGCCGCGCACAGATCGATGTAGTTGGATCATATGACTATAAATCGATACATCGATGTAGTAGATGAATCGTTACACCCCTAGTTGATACTGATGAGGTGGGTGTGTCTATAGTCTGGACTAGTGTGTGGTTGATACTGATGAGGTGGGTGTGTCTATAGTCTGGACTAGTGTGTGGTAGATACTGATGAGGTGGGTGTGTCTATAGTCTGGACTAGTGTGTGGTTGATATTGAAGAGGTGGGTGTGTCTATAGTCTGGACTAGTGTGTGGTTGATACTGATGAGGTGGGTGTGTCTATAGTCTGGACTAGTGTGTGGTTGATACTGATGAGGTGGGTGTGTCTATAGTCTGGACTAGTGTTGACAAACGTTGTAATTGTGGGCTTTACAGAATGTCCATTTTAATCTCCATTAGGATGTAGCATTAGTCCATATTAAGGAAAAACAGTCCAATTTTACGTGTTGTTTCCTATGCTGTTCTGGTTTAGCAGAATCTGGAAGTATAACACATTGCCCCCTGAGCGTCTGTACTGCATTATATTACTTTAATGATCTATTCTCTTCTGTCAAGGCAAAAACCACAAATCAACACGAACAGGCTGCGTTGAGATTGGAAGCAATATTACAGAGCGATGTCCAACAAAGGAAAACAGAACTAACCAACACGATCCAACTGGAACAGGTGCTGTATTATGTCAGCAACTTCCTAGATCTGTCGGATTCCCTCTGGTGTTTGGAATTATCCCAACTCTTTTCTCATCATGTTATTTGTCCCTCAGACTTTAGAGAAAGCTACCTGGGAACTGACCTATCATGCAAAACATTTCTACAGAGGCTTTGAGGATGTTCTTACCAAAGGTGAGTGATATTACTTCTGAATGACTACCTTTAATGACTTGTACCACAACATGAGGATGTTCTTACCAAAGGTGAGTGATATTACTGCTGAATGACTACCTTTAATGACCTGTACCACAACACGAGGATGTTCTTACCAAAGGTGAGTGATATTACTGCTGAATGACTACCTTTAATGACCTGTACCACAACATGAGGATGTTCTTACCAAAGGTGAGTGATATTACTGCTGAATGACTACCTTTAATGACCTGTACCACAACATGAGGATGTTCTTACCAAAGGTGAGTGATATTACTGCTGAATGACTACCTTTAATGACCTGTACCACAACATGAGGATGTTCTTACCAAAGGTGAGTGATATTACTGCTGAATGACTACCTTTAATGACCTGTACCACAACACGAGGATGTTCTTACCAAAGGTGAGTGATATTACTGCTGAATGACTACCTTTAATGACTTGTACCACAACATGAGGATGTTCTTACCAAAGGTGAGTGATATTACTTCTGAATGACTACCTTTAATGCCCTGTACCACAACATGAGGATGTTCTTACCAAAGGTGAGTGATATTACTGCTGAATGACTACCTTTAATGACCTGTACCACAACATGAGGATGTTCTTACCAAAGGTGAGTGATATTACTGCTGAATGACTACCTTTAATGACCTGTACCACAACATGAGGATGTTCTTACCAAAGGTGAGTGATATTACTGCTGAATGACTACCTTTAATGACCTGTACCACAACACGAGGATGTTCTTACCAAAGGTGAGTGATATTACTGCTGAATGACTACCTTTAATGACCTGTACCACAACATGAGGATGTTCTTACCAAAGGTGAGTGATATTACTGCTGAATGACTACCTTTTAATGACCTGTACCACAACACGAGGATGTTCTTACCAAAGGTGAGTGATATTACTGCTGAATGACTACCTTTAATGACCTGTACCACAACATGTTACCGTGTGTTTCCTGTGATTGTCAGACTGGACAGCAGACAGTGTTGTGGTGGCTGCCCTCGGTCGTCCCATAGATCTTGGGATGTTGTATGACTGCCGTAATGACTCGTATTGTTCAGGTACCGTATGTTTTTCCAGTTTTAAAGACTTCAAAGTATTGTGGGTGTATTTATAGTATCTACTGCTGAGGTATAGTGTATTTTAGGGGACCGAGTGGCGCAGCGGTCTAAGGCACTGCATTGCAGTGCTAAAGGTGTCACTACAGACCCGGGTTCGATCCCGCGCTGTATCACAACCGGCCCTGATCGGGAGTCCCATAGGGCGGTGCACAATTGGCCCAGCGTCCTCCGGTTTAGGGGAGAGTTTGGCCGGGGACGTCATTGGGGCAAGCAGGTTCATTTGAGGATTTGCTGGTTTAAGCTGTGACTCAAAATATTACAAGTAATTGGTCTTATCAGAGTGGTGGTTGTATAATTTAAAGTTATTAAATTATTTCATAACCTCCTTTTACCCAAGTAATAATAAATAATTTAAAAGTCAAAAATTCTCAAGGTAATTAAAGTTTCTTATTTCCTTAGATTTGTTTCTGTGGAACAACAAGACCATTGCTTCAATGCAACTGTCCCTCCCTCGGCCTCACACAGAGGTGAAGTGTGTTGAAGGAGACTCCCTACAGGATAGGTTCAGGGCTCTGGATGTGACCACTCCTCTGAGAGCCAGTGTCCTGTCTGGACTGGTGGAGGTCGGTGGTGCTGCTGGATACCTGAACCATCCTGTTCAGTCCACACTGCAGGACCGGGTCACTCTACAGTACAGAACCACTACCAGACTGGACATGCTCAGTCACCGGGTGCTTCAGGAGGAGACAGACGGAACACAACACAAGGCAACCCATGTGGTGATGGCTGTTCTCTACGGAGCTCAAGCATTCTTTATCTTTGATTACAAACACATCAGCGGACAACAAAGTGGTGCAGGAGAGGCAGATATGCACGGTGTTGTGAAGAAGATGATGCCGTCCTTCAGTGCAGATCATATATATTCCAGCTTGAGTGACACTGAGAAACTAAACAGTTGCTTGTATCAGTGTACTCTCCACAGTGATGTAGACCGTGTCAATGGCACCATGACTTATAACAAAGCTTTGAAAGTCTATGAAACTCTCCCGAAGCACCTTGGACAGCATGGAGAGAAAGCGGTGGCTCTGTACGCCTGGCTCTATCCTCTGAAGAATCTGGGACATTCAGTTGAAATCCGATATTTCACAAAGGCAGAGCGTGTGCTGGACCATCTGAGGCAGGCCACCATGATATGTCAGGAGATGATGACAGACTTCACCAATGGTTGTGTGATGAAATGGTTTCCTGATCTGAAGTCTAAACTGTCTAGATTATCAGAGCTGCTGCAGAAGTACCAGTCAGAGTTCAAGAGCGGGCTGGCCATGGCATTAAAGACCATGAGAGAGAGTGAAGGGGTGGATGAAAGCAGACTGAGAGACATTCTCCAGAACCATGACCAGTCACCGTTCTGTCCTCAGTCCATAAACCTGTGGCTAAACAACAAGGCAGCGGAGGTGAAGGCTCTGAATGTCTGTAAAACAAGAAACATCCCCATAATGAAATCTCAGGAAGAGCTGGACAGCGTCCTCATATCCTCAAAGGACAGGCTGCTGTGCTTCACTCTCACCTCCCTGGAGGATGAATATCCATTCCTCTCCACCATGGAGCAGCACACACAAGAGAACCAAACTGATCTCACTGGACAGCAGGAGACACCGCAACCATTCAAACCTCCAGATTTAACTCAGAAAATTCAATCTGACCTCCGCTTGTTCACCAAATCCTATGAAGACAGAAGAGATGGAGAGTGTATCAAGTTAATTGCAGCAGTTATACCAGATATCAGTGTTCCTGGATCCTCCATTCGTCTGTATCAACGAGGCAGTCTCATCGCCACCAACTTCCAGCTGGGATTAAAACCTGATCCAGTCCAGGTAGCAGAGATAAAACAGAGCTGTGTCATCCTGAAGTTTCCCCAGTCAACCATCAGGAGACCTGAGAGGTACAGAGTAGAGTACAGAGTCGTGACCACTGGTGTTAGTGAGGCTAGAGAACGACCATGGAATGCGATAGTCACCCCGGCTCCTGCAGAAACCTGCGTAGTACCTGGTTTGAAACCATTCACACGGTACCAGATCAGGTACTCTGTCATAGAGCACTCTGGTATGAGTGACTTCAGCAAGGTCATTGAGGTCAAGACCCTGAGATCCCCACCTGAACATCTGAATGTGAGCCGGCTGCTGAAGGAAACCAATGGAACCGTCAAAGTGACTTGGTTCCAGCCTGAGTGTGAAGATAGTGCCCCTGTACTCCACTACAAAGTAGACTATAAAGAGGCAGGACTGGAGGGCTGGTCTACCATGGTGACAGCTGAGTGTTACTGTGATGTAACTCTGAACCTCAGTACCTGCTACAGAGTCAGAGTATCAGCTGTCTATGGAGAAGGAGACACCAGTGAAACCACCAGAGAGACAGATGTCCCAGTCTACGGTGAGCTACATCAAATCAATATAACTTGATATGCATGTGAAGAGTATTTTAAAACGTAAGACATCGTTCTGGCTTAAACTAAATGAAAAGCCATCTGTTTATATTGGACTTTCGAAGATCAATAATGAACATTTCTTATATTCTATTTGTACTGCTTGATATAACATCATTACTGTCTTCCATTGATAATACATCACATCATTGCTGTTGTCACATAGGGACATGTCTTTCATTGATATAACATCATTACTGTTGTCACATAGGGACATGTCTTCCATTGATAATACATCATTACTGTTGTCACATAGAGACATGTCTTTCATTGATATAACATCATTACTGTTGTCACATAGGGACATGTCTTCCATTGATATAACATCATTACTGTTGTCACATAGAGACATGTCTTCCATTGATATAACATCATTACTGTTGTCACATAGAGACATGTCTTCCATTGATATAACATCATTACTGTTGTCACATAGGGACATGTCTTCCATTGATATAACATCATTACTGTTGTCACATAGGGACATGTCTTCCATTGATATAACATCACATCATTACTGTTGTCACATAGGGACATGTCTTCCATTGATATAACATCATTACTGTTGTCACATAGGGACATGTCTTTCACTAGTTTGTTAATAGCCTGGCCTAAACTTTGGTGCACAGGGATTTTAATCTGCAATTTACTTTGAAGTCTGGTCCATAGACCTCTCAGAGAGAAAGGCCTCCCTCCTCCTAGAAGTGCTGAAACTCCAATCAGAGAAGAAATCAGTAGAGCTGAAGGGCTGGTCAGATGAAGAGAGTGAAGTGAGGAGTTTCCTTCAGTGTCTGCCCTACATCTCACAGCTGAGGTGAGTCTGAACATGGGTGGTGGTTAGTGATTATGTGATGCTAGTGATTATTATCTTGTAGAAACATTGTAATATAAAACTTAAAGTGTTGGTGAATCTGGTAACATTTATACTCAGATTTCCTGACATAACAAATGTTGCATTACTAAATGTCACACATACATCATGTGAATGTCTCTAAAATTAAATAATTTTACATATAATCAAAGCACATTATGTAAATGTATAACTACTTCATATATCTTTAGCTATGACTGGTTTCATGTGTTCATCCATGTCTGAATCAGCTGTTACTGTCCTTGTTGCAGTTTCTGTCCATGGAGGTCTGATCCCTCAAAGCAGATCAAGTTCCTGGTGGATCTCCTGTCTCAAGCAGCAGAGTGGGAGGAGCAGACAGGAGAGAAGACACTGAAGCTGGTATCATCAATGTGTACTTACAACACCTTTCCTTTTCTCAGTGGAGACAATTCTAAACAGAGTGATTTCCTGCTGGATCTGTACTCACATGTGAAGGACTATGAGACTCAAACAGGCAGGAGTGTCCTGCCAGCATTACAGCCAGTTTACCAGTCAGCTCCTGCAGTCTGGTCCATAGACCTCTCAAAGAGAAAGGCCTCCCTCCTCCTAGAAGTGATGAAACTCCACCCAGAGAAGAAACCAGTAGAGCTGAAGGACTGGTCAGATGAAGAGAGTGAAGTGAGGAGTTTCCTTCAGTGTCTGCCCTACATCTCACAGCTGAGGTGAGTCTGAACATGGGTGGTGGTTAGTGATTATGTGATGCTAGTGATTATTATCTTGTAGAAACATTGTAATATAAAACTTAAAGTGTTGGTGAATCTGGTAACATTTATACTCAGATTTCCTGACATAACAAATGTTGCGTTACTAAATGTCACACATACATCATGTGAATGTCTCTAAAATTAAATACTCAGTCTGTATCTGTCATGTGAATTTCTATCTCTAATTCAACCTAAGCTTGAATCATTACCAGAGGTTGTAAGGCTCTGGTTTTAATCATAAATGATTCAAGGTCCATAACCACGAAGAAGGATTTTTTGTATGTTTATTCATGGAGAGCTCTGGCGCCAAAGACACAAACATACGATTTTATACCTCCTGGACTTGACTCCTCCCACCTTTAGGTGACTTTTCTAAACAGTTTCCGCCTTCCCCCTTGAATGTTTAGTACCGCCCCCTCTGTTAGTGGGTTGACACTACATGATAATTCTAACATTTATACTGTATTTGGGGTGAAATCCTTTAGTCATTATTCTTAAAATCCAAATTAATTTAACAATCCACCCCTTTGACTAAATATTCCCACATTCAGGATAAATGTATTTTACAAGCATGATTAATCTCAGAGATCACATCAGAACTAATAAACATTTCATCCAATTGCGGTCTTTCAGGGTCCAAATCCTCGTCATCCACCAAGCCTGGAGGATCGTTTTTCACATTCCCCTGGTCAGAGTCCGGAGTCAGTCCATATCACTCCCTCCAGGAAATACACGACGCCGCTGTTCTGGTTACTGATGGATTTATTCTTCTACTAAATTCTCCACCGTCATCAATCCACCGTCGAACTGTTTAAATACCTTTCAACACATGCACAAAAAACAAGTTGGCGTTCACGTTACAGAAACCTTGCACGTAAATATGCGCGACAAATAATTAACATAATGAACATACCTCGCTGGCTGCACACAACTGAGAGGGAAATGGGTCCACTTAGAAACAAGAATACTTGTAAATAAACACGTTGTTAATTTAACTTATCTTTCAGAGTACTAAACTTTACCGCCGCTACTTTACCGCGATGTCTGGAACTTGTCACCACTAAAAGCGTCCCAACACAACATAGAATGTACAGATAGTTCCTATCACATAAATACAAGCAAAATCAATATTCAAAATACAAGTTGTACAAATAATAATGATATTATGTAAAACCTATTAATAATGACATGAATAACATTTATAATGACATGAATAACATTTATAATGACATGAATAACATTTATGGCAGTTAAACTCCCACCAAATCACATCCTTTGGGATTTCACCTCACAAAATAACCATAACATTCATTCTGCTTCAAGCAGTAAAACTGTCTTGTATACAGGCCTGTCAAGATAGACTGGCTTTGTAGTGCGTTTTCCCTGGTTATCTAAGGTTGAGTCACTAATTAACAGTTTTACCTTTCTGACTCTTCCATCAGTGCTAGGGTACACCTGTGCTACTCTTGCTAATCTCCATTGATTTCGTGGAGAGCAGTCCTCTTGTAGGATGACAATGTCATTAACCTTCGTATTTCTCTTATCCTTTTGCCATATTTGTCTTTGCTGAAGATTAAGGAGGTACTCCTTCTTCCACCGTGTCCAGAATTCGTTTGCCAAGAACTGTACCTGTCGCCATCTCTTGCGGAGGTAGAGATCCTGACTCACAAACTGACCTGGAGGGGGAGTTGTTATCTTTGACTTCATCATGAGGATATGGTTGGGAGTGAGAGGTTCAAGACTTGTTGGATCATTTAAGTGCTCTGTTGTCAGAGGTCTGCTATTTACGATAGCCATCACTTCATACAGGAAGGTTCTAAGTGATGCACTGTCAAGTCTTTTAGCAGATTGGTCAAGGATCGCTGTTAGAACGCTTCTGATGGTCCTAATTTGTCTCTCCCATACACCTCCCATGTGACTTGATGATGGGAAGTTCATAACAAACTCACATCCATGTTCCTTTACCTGTTCATGATCCAGGTCCTTCATTGCATTCATGAACTCTCCTTTAGCGCCAACAAAGTTGGTGCCTTGATCACATCTCAACTGTCTTACATTTCCACGTATTGCAATGAATGCACGCAGTGCATTGATGAAAGCATCTGTAGTGAGATCATCAAGCATTTCAATATGTATGGCTCTAGAACACATACAAGTGAAAAGAAGACCATATCTTTTCAGTTCCTTTCTCGCTTCTTTCACATAGAATGGTCCGAAGCAATCTATACCACAATATGTGAATGGAGGGGTCATTTCCAGTCTCTCGTCTGGCAAGTCTGCCATCTTTGGTTCCTGTGTGTTCCTTCTATACTTTCTGCATGTTGTGCATTTGTAGATGTGCGAGGCAACTGCGCTGCTGCAACCTGTAACCCATATACCATTGGATCGCAATTCATTGACAGTTATTCCTCTTCCTTGATGATGCACCTTTTCATGGTAGTGCTTGATGAGTAAAGAAGACACATGACTTGCCTTAGGTACAATGGCAGGATGCTTTACATGTGGATGAAGGGCAGATCTTGTCAAACGTCCTCCAACCCTGAGCACACCGTACTCATCGACAAAGGGACTTAGTTTGTGTAGCTTGTTTGTTTTGTCTTTGGGTTTTACTTCCTTTATTGCTTTATACCTTTGATTTCAGTGCTGAATACTTCCGTTTGAACCAATTTGATGATGAAAAGCTCTGCTTCCTGTCTTTCCTCAACACTTGTGGCTTCATTTGTTTTAAGTTTGAGACCCTTGATTTGCTTAGCATGGCGCTTAAGACGAGCAATAGCTTTGACGGCTCTTTTCCAGTCAGAAAACCTTGTCAGGCGGTCTAACAATGTCCTGTCCTCTTTTGCTTTTGTGTTGAGCACCTGGGCCTTTCGAAGTTCTGGATCATTGTCAATGACCTCACTTACTTTGACGTCTTCTATGGGCAGCTCTCTTTTCCACAGAAAATCTGGCCCATTAAACCAAGTTGAAGCTACAAGCTGATCTGCCTTTAGGCCTCTTGAAGCATGATCCGCAGGATTATCTTCAGAACGTACAAATCGCCATTGCTTTGAATCTGTAGTGGACTTGATTCTTTGGATTCTGTTAGCCACAAAGACGTGGAATCGTCTTGCATCATTGTTTATATATGCAAGGACAACCTTTGAGTCTGTCCAAAAATGTTCTTGAAGACCATCTATTTCGAGCTCCTTTCTGAGCACAACACTTGTCCTTGCTGCTACCACTGCTGCAGATAACTCAAGGCATGGTATTGTGGTCACTTTGGTGCGGGCAACACGTGCTTTCCCCATGACTAACGAACAATGGACATCCCCATTGGTGTTGATTGTTCTGAGATAAGTACACTCCCCATAGCCTGTGACGCTGGCATCTGAGAAGTGGTGA